CCCCAAAACCCCAAAACCCCAAAACCCCTCTTATTACTCCTCAAATTGAACTATTATGCTCACATCACAATCTAACTTTCCAACATCTCATTCTTGCTTTTCTTAAGTACTAAACCATTACTCTTCACCCTACTCTTATGTATCTCCCTCTCTAACTGCTTTGTATGGCCTAAAAATCCCAAAACTTCCTACCTTGGTAATGCTTAAAAGTCTTCTTACTCAACGTGCCACTTTTCTGTACATAACCCCTCAAAAACCCACCTGGACATCAATTACATCATCTAAATCCCTCAAAATCTGATAAGTCTGGTCAAATTCCTTATCTGTAAACTCTCTGCACCTTTTATTTGCACTAAAAATCACTTTAACCCCAATATTTCCTACTTGATAATCCCTTAAGACTCTTTTCGACTTATTCTCTTCTAAAAATCCTTTAAAAATCCCACCTTCTTCACAATGATGCATGATCTCTAGACTTGGTCACTGATCAACCTTACCGAAGAGCCTGGTCCTGATCTTCTGGTTCTTCCTGCGGAAAGTCACTCTTTGGGAAACTGGGCTCAGGTCAACAGGTGAGTAGGAAGTCGGCCTAGAACAAAAAGTTGAAAGGGAGAAGTACCTGGACGCTGGATATTGGGGAAATGAAGACTCTGTAGTGGAGGAAGGAGTGAACATTTTAGAGCTGAAAATTTTAGTCTTCATGAGACCTGAGTTACGACGCATAGAGGTCTCGTTTGTGGTGTTTAGTTTGAACGTGATGTTTTTAGAGCTGGGAAAATAGCCCTTTTGAAGAAAACCTCTTTGCTTTGTGGTTGAGTCTGGCCCTAGAAGGGTGAGAACAGTAGTTTAGGTGTAAAATATCATTGAAATAAGGAAGTAAGCTTTATAATTGAGCGAAAAGTAGACAAACCATAGGTGATTCTCTGAGAGTCATTTCCAATATTTCCTAAATGATAATCTAAAGCTTAAACTTTTGTCTTGGACCTTTATAAAATATGCTTTGCGCTTTGCTCTCTGAGTCGGTCTTAAAGAGCTAAATTTAATTTGGATATACCTTTGGGTCTTGAATCTGAGCATTGAATGTGACTGCATTATTTGTGAATTTCTACTACTTTTTCTATCTAGACCTACATCTTCAGTTTAGAGAAAGAAAGTCTGAGATATTAAAAATGAGATTAAGAGATTACTAGCTTTGTTTTTGCTGTGGAATTTTCTATTTGATGCTTTTGGTTCTTCTCTTGATTCAGTTTGGAAAGCGTCTTGTGGTATTTTTAAGCGAATACCTTTCTCACCCTGAACTGAATTTCTATTTATTTTCGAGTTCTTTTTATTCAGGCTTTTGAGCTTTTCAAGCAAATTATTACATCTCTTCTTTTGCTCTTTTTGAATTTTATATCTAATAAACTTCTGATTTGCAGTTTCATTGGTTGTGAGCTTTTTCATAACCAAATGTAATCCATTCTCAGCTAGAACCCCATTCATCAATTCATACAAATCTGACCAAAATTTAACTCAAACTAAAAATTTCGAAACTTTCCGAAAACCCAAAAATACAAAATCAAACATCAAACCCAACCCATATGCTCCCATTCCCTCATTATACCTTTCTCCTCTATTTCCTCTTCATCTTTACTCAAATTCCTAAAAATCCTCACAAATCCTTACTTTCTCTTATCATTATTTATAAATAAAGACTCCTTTCTTTTTGTACGTATAAAAGAAACTATCATCACACAACTTCGAAAGCTCTAACTTCCTCTCGATAGGAGTCTCATTAGGGTGCTCAATCTCGTATTTAATCCTCTCCTGTGACTTGGAGAATGCTGCATCTCCTACTTCGTACAGGTGCTAGGGTTAAGGCTCAGGAAGAGTACTTGTAATTCATTTTGAGACTTTATAGCATCCCTTCTATTTCTGCTTCTCCTTCTCAACTTGTTCCCTAAAATATAAGGGTAGTCAATACCTTAGATTATCAACGTTTTTGTATAGTAAATGTTCGATTTTCTGAAGTTTTTGCTTAGTCCTAGAGGTAAAAATGAGGCTTACTTCTCCCTCATTTCATCATAAATTCCATCGATCAGCTGATTACAGTCCATTTGTTGGTATTTCTCGATAAGCCCAGGATGTTTTTTCTGGATCATCACTAAAATTATAAGAGAAATATACCTTTTTTAATATCCTTTTCGTTGATTTCAAATAAATTTGGCTCCATTTAGATAATCAAATTTTGAATATTTTAGTTTAAAATTATTATTTTCAATAATTTTTAGTAAATTTGGGGTTTTGGGGTTTTGGGGTTTTGGGGTTTTGGGG